AACATATATTGGTCTCCGTGAATCATTCAACTGGTGGTCTGCGAGGTCTCTCAGCGGAAGGGGATCGGAAGTGTACGTCGTCGTCTTTCGGTGCCAGTCGGCTCTGCTTGGGAGATGTAAACCAGAAGTAGAAACTGACAAAAATAAGTGAGTGAAAACTGGAATGGACGTGTAAATGGGATTCCAAAAGGAAAAAAGGGATAACTTGCAAAAATACCCCCATAAGCCAAAATGCCTTTGAAAGATGTGGGTAGAGCGGAACGCCCCTGTGACAAAAGAGATGTTTTGTGAAATATCCCTGGATTCGCATCTTTGCAATATACACCTGCCGGGGGCCCCGACTTTGCAAAATGCCCCGGGGTAGAGCGGAATGCCCCTGTGACAAAAAAGGTATTTTGTGAAATACCCCTGGCATCGCATCTTTGCAATATGCACCTGCCGGGGGCCGTCCAACTTTGCAAAATGCCCCCGGTACTTGCCAAACTTTTCCTAGGTGCGATTGCAAAAGGCCAAGGCCCGAACGGGGAGGTCCAGATTGCAAATTTGCACGCCCGCCTCACAGGGGCATAACACAAAGATTTTGGTCCAAGAAGGCCGTTCCGCTCTACCCCCCATTTTTCAGGGGCATTGCAAATTATTCCCCCCCCCCACCCCTCTGCCCCCGGGGGGAAAAAATGGATATAAATAAGAACCATTGCAGAGAGGTTGAGTGTGAAATGCTGTGCCCTCATTTGTCACTGTATTTCTGCCTCTGGCGGAGTGTGGCCTCATCATCAACTCCGACGCAGAAATGCTGTGCCCTCATCCCATCAAGAAGTTGAGGTAACTTCTTGATGAGTCGGTGAATCTTTGAATCTCGCCAAAATGCCCGTGGCTTCCTGATGAGTCGGTGAATCTTAAATCTCCGACAGACGAAACAGTTTGTCCCAGTCCCGTAGTTTGTTGTCCTCTACTTCTTTCTCCCTCTCTGCCTACGATTTACCGGGCAGCTCTGTTGAATGATATATATACGTGCACGGACCTGGCCATTGGACTGGCCATTGTACATGCCGCTGACTGCTGATGAGAGCTGTGGGACAAAGGCGTCATGGTTCATGCCTTAACTGATGTTACTGATTTCTTACATAATGATGCTGTTTTTTTCCTGCCACACCGAGCCGTTGGCGATCTCTTTTATGTCGAAGATCATTCCTTTGCCCCCGTGCTGCAGCAGGACAATGTACCAACGCTCTGCGACCTTTTCTCCTTTGCACAGCTACAAACACTGTTATGCTCAGCTGTAGCCGCCAACGTCTCCGTTGCAATCACTACAACGACATGGTTTTTGCATCCATGTGTGTAGCGGACCGTCCCTCCGTTCCATTTCGCGGCCATGGGCGCTATACCGTGTGGCTATGGCGGTTGCTGACACCCTTCGTTCCTGACTGTAGACACCCTCCGCATCCGAACACTATATGTCCATTCTGCCTGTGAGCTATGGATGGTGCTACTCTATCTTGTGGCTATAGCGCCTGCTGAGGTTCTTCGACAGCACAGATACATGGTCTTCTTTTTATGACAGGGTTTGCCGAGGCGTAGTATATACTATATACTATATAGTACTGGATAAATGGGTTTGGTCAACGATGACAGGGTTTGCCTGTGAGTACGTAAAAAAAAACTCTGCGATCTGCCCCCTATAGACCTCTATGCACGACTTTGACGACCTTGTCTTCTTGACCTTGTCTTCTTGCTCTATGTGTCCGTCCTGAACCGTTTGTTCGGGTTCGGCCTATTTCCTAGGGAACTACCTGTTTGGCTCGTCTGAGGCATCTTTGGAAGCTTCCACACTTCTTCAGGCTCCTGATAGACATGCAAAATAAACGACTAAGTAGATAGGCAAGTCAATGAATGAGCAACTTTCTTACCCCTGTCTGTCTCTGCTTGTCTCTATTCGTGTGTGTTTATGTCTATTCGTGTGCGTGTAACTGTGTGTGTTTGTGTCTATTCGTGTGCGTGTCTGTGTGTGTTTGTTTCTATTCGTGCGTTTGTGTTTTTGTGTCTATTCGTGTGTGTGTGTGTGTGTGTGTGTGTGTGTGTGTGTGTGTGTGTGTGTGTGTGTGTGTGTGTGTGTGCATGGGCAGTTTTTCGGAGGATATGGGAGTGGGTATCCAGCCACTCCATTTGAGCAGCATTACCGTTGCTACCCCGTGAGCTTCATAGAGAAGGTATGGTCCCGACCAAGCCAGGCGGGCTACTCAGCTATCCAGACCGCTGCACTCGCATGTATGCAGAATGACAAATTGAGTCATGTAGACTTGTTTTCCAACAGAGACTGACTACCTACCAGCCAGACAACCTACCAGCCAATAGCCCTTCCCTGATGATAGCTGGCATGGCAGGCGTAGGCGTACGTACAGGTCCTGGCAAGAACTGGATGACGTGCAGACGAACAAAGCGGTAGGTCGAGCGGGAAATGGTGCAGGCACAACTGGGCAGATCCAAGCCCGCTCATCCCACAAAGCGTGCCACAAAATGCTCTGTTGTTGCTATTTCGTCCACGTGATGTTTAATTGGTTCATTGTTTTGGGTTGGATTGGGTTGGATTGGTTTGGATTGGCTGTTTCAGTTTGGTTGGATTGGCTGTTTCATTTAACTTGGGTTGGTTTGACTTAGTTTGAAATATTTGAAGTAAGTTCCAAATAACTGACTTTCGTCACTTTTCGTTAAATTTGAAATAGTTTGCTTGCTCGCGCGATGAAATTGTACAAGGATTTTTTGAATTCCCCTCCCCCCCCCCCGTCTAAATCTTTTGCTACACCTCCCCTCCCCTCTTTCTCTCTCTCTCTCTCTCTCTCTCTCTCTCTCTTTCTTTGTCTGTCCCCCCCCCCCCCCCCCCCCCCCCTGCTCTCTTTTTGTATGTTTTTTTTTAATTTTAAATTTGGTGCCGAATCTGCCGATAACTTACTGTCAATGCATACCCCCCCCTTCAATCAAGGGACCCAAGCATCTGGAAGGGTCAAGACTCACAAGTGACAACAACAAAAACCCTTGTTATTTTTTGCCGTGCGTCGTCGTGCGAGCAAAATATTTCAAATTTAACGAAAACGTCGAAAAGTCAGATGACTCAGATGCAATTGTTTGGCCTGGTTAGATTCGTTTCATTTGATTGCCGTCTTGGTAGTGTTGGTTAGTTGGGTGGGTGGGTGGGTGGGTGGGTGAGTGGGTTGGGCTGGAAGGGTGGATTGTTTAGCGACAACTGCGACGTGGGCATTCTACTCGGGTGAAGATGGACTGTTGGTTGGTTTGTAGGCCTTGTGGTGATCACTTCCTGCATGTGACGTCGGCCAGTGCATGTGGCTGTTGCATGTGGCTGCTGCATGTGGCTGCTGCATGTGGCTGTTGCGTTGACTGTGGTTGCATTGATCGCGGTCACATTAAACCACCAGTACTTCCTAAAGTCGTGCCCATTAACGAGCCACAATTTTAGGAAATGTATGGGTCACTACAGGACCGCCGCCCAAATTCATCCGACTAGAAACGTTTTTCGGACTTCTCCTCTATATTTTTTCACGGCCGAGAGCTGGGCCAAGTACTGGTGGTTTAAGGGGGTTAAATTGAGGGGGTTAAATAACTAAAATTCAAAATTGATGTTTGTTAAGTTGACCATGGTTTAGTTCTGTGGTTGTCTTGGGACGGGTATTCTCTGCTGCACGCCGATTTATGGGTTCTACGGGCGAGCCCAGACGCATGTGTGTATGCATCAGATAGGAAGCAACGGTGCTCTCACACTCTCGCCAGTACGGGAGGCGCAGGCAAGGCAAACATCACCTTCCTGTGGATTGTGCTTTGTGGTTAACCGGGGCTAAGGTTGGGAGTTAGTGGATGGGCTTATCCTCATGGATAAAGTGCTAGCACGGCGGACCCTGAATTGCCGAACCTATTTTTTTATGCATCTGGAAAAAATCGGACCGGTCCTCGCCGGGCCGGTGCATCGGCAACGGTACAGCGTCTGTTTGTGCACTGCCGGAAGTCTGGGAGGAGGGGGCTCTTACTGGTGGTTTAAGGGTTTGGGTGTTTCGATGAATTAGGGGTTATTGTGATGGCTTGGAGGCGTGCATATCTGTATGTGTGTATATGCCTTTTCAACGGAAGGGGGAGGAGGTGGTGGGACGTGGAGGTGGCGAATGGCAAGAAAAATTGGTGGGCGTCGTGCAAGCAAAAGTCAGTGACAGGCGTAGTTGTGTCTGCGGTCTGATATCTGTTCTCTCATTGTCTGTCTTTTGTGACTATGCAGGCTCATCTGGAAAATGGAGACAAAGGTACTCTTTTTTTTTCGCTGGATTTTTTTGCTGATTTTTTCGCTGAAAATTTTCGCTGATTTTTTTCGCTGATTTTTTTGCTGGATTTTTTCGCTGGATTTTTTCGCTGGATTTTTTTGCTTGATTTTTTTCGCTGATTTTTTTTCGCTTCACTTTTTTTTTTCGCTTGAACTTTTTTTTCGCTGATTTTTTCGCTGATTTTTTTTGCTGATTTTTTTCTCTGATTTTTTTGAATTTTTTTGGCTGATTTTTTTTGGCTGATTTTTTCGCTGATCCTCTCCCTACCATTGGAACTTGCTCCATTGTTCTGGCCTACTCTGAACTTCATGCGACTCGGGGCTATTGTTTTTTCGTTTCCCCCCTTCCATGTGTGAAACTGCAAGTACATGGCCCCCCCCAGCCTTGCAGAATATCGCGAGTCGCCAACTCTGAACATCATGTGACTCGGGGCTACAGACCACAATGGCGGGCGGTACCAGCCAAAAAAAAAAAAAAAAGAAGTGCACCACTGGTGTTCGGAAAAGCTTGGCGCGCAGTGCAGCGCCTCCAAGCCTGGATGTACCGGTGGTTTTGAAGGTGTCTTCCTCCTCTTCCGTCCCTTCTCCCCCTCCCCGCTCCCCCTTCCCGGTTCTCCTTGTCCCTCTTCCACCTCCTGCTTCTGCTCTTCTTTGTCCCTCATCTCCTCTTTATCCCTCTTCATTCTCCTCTGCCTCTTCACTCCTCCTCCCCCTTGTCCATCCTCCTTCCCCTCCTGCTCCTGCTGCTGCTGCTCCTCCAGCTGGGTGTGGATTTTGAGAGAGCGAATGAGCTTTCAGATGATATCTTTCGGAGCAATTCTGTGCACAGTGCGAGGAGTTTTCTGCGCTGGTGCCTCTGTGGGAGTGGGCTGCCTGAACGCCCTGAATGTCTTAAGGGCCTGAGGGACATGCCTTGTGAGTGGTACTGTGCAGTTGTTGCCCCTGACCTCACCTACCGTCTTCACCCGAATAGAGCGCCCGGTAGTTATTGCCATATCTGGACTGAAAGTTGCACCAAATAGAGCTATAATGACCGGGCGTTCTATTCGGGTGAAGACGGTATTCATTTCTCTCCGACGCGGCCATTAACGCGCCGTGAATTTCGGGGCTTGGGCTACTGCAGCAAAATGGCTGCCAAAAGAAGGCCCGTGCCTGTTCTTTTTTTTTTTTTTTTTGGCGTGCAGGGTGTTTCCAGGGTCGGAATAATTTTGGCGAAAGGTAGTGGTGGTTTAAGGCCATGGAATGTCTAAAGGGCTTTTTTTGAAGCAAGCACTAGGCGACTTATATCGTGTTCTTTTTTTTTTCACCCTACCCATGTTTGGAGTGTTTCACTGTCAGAGGCTGAAAACTAGAGTGACTACCGTCTTCACCCGAATAGAACGCCCGGTCATTGTAGCCGTATTTGGTGCACTTTTCAGTCCAGATACAGCTATAATAACTGGGCATTCTATTCGGGGTGAAGACGGTAGAGTAGGCAGAGATCATGGGCGTCGCTCCACTACCCTCGACACACACAAAAACAGAAATCATGGCGGTGTATCTTTCCACGTTCTTGCGGAATATTCAGTCTCGTTTTGCACATTCCGACAGTACTGGAGCAATGCCCCATAAGTGGTTCTTTTGAGGGCAATAAGTGATTCTTTTTTTTTGTTTTTGAGTGGAAGCTGCCTTGAATTCTCTGTGCAACTTCACAGAGAAAGTAACAGGTGTCCTTCAACGTGCAGGCCTGTCTGACCTGTCTGACCAATCCATTCTACATTTGTCGGTGGTTTTTTTTCCCCTTTTTTTTTCGTCTTGCAGTTATCATGCCGCCTTCAGCCCTTGATCGACTCGGTAAGTCTGCCTCGGATGGACTTGCCCTTGCCCCCCCCCTCGGGAACTGGCCCTAACAAACACTGAGTATAAGGTATCAAGGTCTTCAACCAGAAAGCATTGCAGCTGTGACGTCAGTTCAGTAAATTAAACCATCAGTACATCTGAGTCTGTTGTGTATGAGACCAGGTTCATGCTTTTTCCGGCATGAATATAGCACGCAGTGGACGAGGTTCATGAATGAGACAAGGTTCATGCTTTTTTCCTAACGCTGGTATTATTCTCTAAGTCAGCAGGTGGCCGCAGCATCTATAATGAGTCAGTGAGCGAGGGAGCACGCACGCTCTTGTATCTGGGCCTCGCCACACTGCTGTCGAAACCAAAAAAAAGTAGGGAGTGCATCATCTCCTCCCCGCAGAGTGTGGCAAAAAACGTACGAGTGCATCTTCCGCAGAAAGTGGTAAGATGCATCCGTTACTATGAATAGCAGCGGATGCATCTTACCACTTTCTGTGGAAGATGCCCTCGTACGTTTTTCGTTTCGACAGTGGCGCGGCATGGCCGTATATCGTCAAAACCGAACTGCCGCCGGTAAAGAGGATACTTTTTCAATTTACAGTCAGATTCTTGGAATGTTCAATTTTCTGATGCCATGTTTTTCGGACAATCGCATTCAAATTTTGAACCATTGGCTGATTGGTCAGCCAGATGCATGAATCTGCTGCTGGGGATTAGACAGGTACAATCATACAGTGTATGCATACTGAATTAAGTAATTACTAACTGATTATTAGTTATTAAGTAATGAGAGAGAGAGAGAGAGAGAGAGAGAGAGAGAGAGAGAGAGAGAGAGAGAGAGAGAGAGAGAGAGAGAGAAGGATATGTTTTCAATTTACAGTGTGTTCTTGGAATGTTCAATTTTGCGATTCCATTTTTTCGGACAATCGCATTCAAATTTTGAACCATTGACTGATTGGTCAGCCAGATGCATGAATGTGATGCTGGGGATTGAACAGGTACAATGTATGCATATTAAGTAATTAAATGTTGAAATTTAGTATTTAGTATTTAAATTAAATTGAAATTAAATTTAAATTTATTGAATAAATAGTAAATACAAGATTCTCTGCAGTCTACTCGCTTACTCTATGCCTGCAGTTACGGTCGTATTGTTGCTGTCTACCGTCTTACCCAGAATGGAGCGTTCAGTAATTTCGCCTGCATTTGGGGCAATTTTCAGTCTAGATAGATGGATAATGACCGTACGTTCCATGCGGGAGACGAAGAAGGTAGTCCATTTAGCACGACTTCATCTATTCCCCCCTCTCATCTCTGCTCTTCAGAGAGTATCGCGACTCACACTCAGTTTATTTCATTTTATTTGAAACTTTCCATTGCAGAGTAAGTAATCTCCAAGTTAAAAATAAAAAATAAAAATAAAAATAAAAATAAATAAATAAATAAATAAATAAATAAATAAATAAATCAGGATTCAAGGACCCATTCCCCTTCTTATTGAAGCCCCTTGAAGCCCCTTGTGCCAAATCGAGAACAGATGGGGGTGAGGAGAGCGAGTACTCAGTGCACCGGGGAGTTTCAGCACAGCATCTTCCGCGAAATGTTCAGGAAGTAGGGCTGTGGAAGAGTGTTCAAAATCGACAGAGCGGAGAGGGGTTTGGAGCATCCAGGGAG